GAATATTCACAACACAGTAATTTCCTTGAGTTACTACGACCATGATGGATCCCAAGTACATGACCTAAATCTTGCAGTGACAAATTTCAAAAGTGAACAATAGTTGTGTTTCAGAACCCTTGAAAATGGAATTGAAACTGATACTGGTCCATCCAGTGCTCATAATGCCACAACCAACACAACATGTTGCTTTGAATGCATAAAAGCAAGATGAGCCATTTTGCAGTGAAATGCTACACTCGAAGAGTTTTTTATTGTGAATTTTTGCAACAGCTTTTCTTCTTACGAAAGAAAGCTCAGTTGTTGCAAAAGCATAATGTGGTAAATATTGATACTGGGTTAAACTATTAATCATAATACTGAGTTCAGTGAAATAACAAAACTTTCTTTACACGTACCATAAATTAGACATAAAAGATGCATCTTTTATGTAAACTGTTTGCTAACTTGGCTGCAGTTTATGACATAAAAGATGGCATAAACTATTTGCCAAAATCTAAACAAGGATAAATAATAATGACATAAAAGATGCAAAATATTTGTTGTGTGAGTTGTAGAAAATCCAACCCAGCTGAGCTGCTTCCTGAAACAACGGGTCGGAGAATAAGCTAGAGAAGCGATGGGAATGATGCAGTGCAGTGCGTGCCATGTCAAGGACAATGCGAAACATTGATGAAGCTATCAGCTACTTAATATCACGATAGGTCACACACAACCAATCTAATTAGATTTGCTAACTCTATCGATTTAATTCCATGGCGGCAGCTCACATATGGCGGTTGCTGTAATCAACAGACAGTCAGTCTGCAGTGAAAACAACTTAACATGATTAGCATTAAATCTCCCCGATCTTATCGGGGAGAGCCGAAGAAGAGTCATTTCCCTCTCAAGTCACGAATTCCTTATGCAATATCAGAATTATATGTGTGCTTGACCAAGAGAGATCTCTTGTGTAACCCATTCAATCAATCCAGCTTTTCGAACACAATCCACAGATTCATCAACTAATGGAGAACTATCATATATGGGACAAAGTTTCCTTTTTTTTACAAAAGAATCGACATGATGTAAATCTCAAAACCCTTATCAACATTAATTATTTGCACAAACAACATCGAAAATTAGACATGGCAACTCAAACTACATCTTCGACTCACGAACAATCTATCGAAAATCTACCAAACAATCTGACTAACAATTCTTTTTTTTTTTCCTTCTTTTTGCAAGATTTTTCTATCACAAATTGGTGAATTGCAACTTATTCGATCCGAGCAATCATTTCAATGGTAGAATACTACTGGAGGAACCTTGAATCCAAAGTCCTCGAGGAAGGGTATTACCTGCGGCTGCTCCACCAGGTCCCTGTACAAGGCGTACTCCGCCTCGTAATCATGCAAGTCCAGCTCCGCCTTCTGGTTCGTGTGGTAATGGTGCTTCGCCTCCGCCGACTTCCCGAAGCCAAAGACGCTGACTTGGTCGCAGATCCCCAAGGCCAGCATCACCGCCTGCATCCCCGACGAGTAGTGGAACATCTTCTCGTCGTGGACCTTCGTCCACTCCCCCGGCGGCTTCCCTGTTGTGTCCACGAACGTCTTCAGAGAGTAGTACTTCACGATCCGGGCGCAGAGCATGTCGAACCGCACGTCCGTGATGAGGAGCGGCGCCTTGTGGGACGAATTGCACACGGCGTAGTCGAGGAAATGGACGGGTTGGCAGATGTACATGACGATGGGGACGCTCTCGCCGTACGGATGACAGAAGCAGCCCGGCCTTCGAGCGCAGAGGTGGAGGATGTTGCTGTTGACGAAGGAAAGGCCGGTCTTTGATCCGACCTTGTGGTTGTACCCGCTGACGCGAGCGTTGTTGAGGCGGATCACCAGGTCGTGGCCGTCGATCAGGCCGCCGTGGTCGTTGTTCAGGAGGATCCCGCTTTTGCCGACCACGGCGCAGGAGCCGTACCGCTCTGTTTTGGTGTCGGGGCGGCCGTGGTGGCGATCGATGGGGCGTTTGATGAGCTCGACCAGCTCCGACATGACCCCGGGATGGAACCGGCGGGGGCCGGAACCAGTCACGGAGGGGGCGGCGGAAATCGGGCAAGGCCCGGTAGTCCTTGGGGCCCCGGAGCCGGTGGGGAAACCGGGGCTCATTCCGACGCAGCACCTCCAGGTGGTTCTCCTGCCGCCAGTCCAAGTGGGTCCGGAGCCGCCACCCGGCCACGCCACGGTGGCCAGAGGGGAAGGTCCCGTCGAGGAGGTCGTCGACGTCCTTCCGCAGCTCCGCCTCCCCGGACTCCACCGCCGCCAACCTAAGAAGCGTCGCGTTGGCCGGAGGGGCCACCTCCGGCCGCCGCTCGCGCCGCCTGCCGTCCTGCACCGCCGCCCGGAAGCTGAGGACAGAAAACACAGCGACGAGGATCAAAAAGCTGAAGGGCAAACGGAGGGATCGCTTCATCCTCGCCGCTAGATCGACGGACCCCAGGAAGAGCCCCTCATTCTGGCCCAAGATCGCATCTTTACATCCGGAGACGCATTCCTCCGAATCGGGGCACCAAAGGTGGCGACTTGGGGGTGGAACGGGGAAGCTTCCACTGATGAATCTACGAGGGAGGTATCCGCATCGCCATGGATGTGAGTCTCGAACGCCGGGAGCTCGAAACGAGAGGCGAGCAGATGTTGGGGATCACTCGATTGGGTTTCATGTAATATTGTAAGCGCCCGAAGGATTTGGGGAGCTTCTTGCGTGCACAACAACTTACCCGTTAGCTCGTCACCCAACAAAATACACGCGTCTTGATTGCAAGACATTTTGGGGCCCCAATTAACCACATCAGAAGGATCCTAACAATCTCATTAGTTAGGTGGATAAATGGGTAGGAAGAATAGGGAGAAAGGAACTGCCCCCGATACTGCCTTCCCTGGCCAAGTCACAATTTGTATGTATGTATTTGATAGGAATCCTTCAATCTTGATAAAGATTGGAAGATGGTTAATCCTATTATTTTGTGGCTTATGAGATCCCAATCCATCCATCCATCGCATGCACAAACATCCTAACAGGTTTCCATCTACCAAATTATCAGTGAAATAAATGCTTCATAATTATTATTCTTGCTTTACTAAGAGCAAATAAATTCATACTTTCATGGTCTTCTCTCAGCTTGTCCTTCACCAAAAGAAAAAGGTAATGGTGAAGGGTATATGTTTTAATTATTCTTTAGATTTATTTTGCTGTCATTTATCATCACAGTTTAAGATAGGATTTTAGATTAGTTTTGTTAATTTTGTTACCATTGAGTAATAATGAGAAAAAGAATATTTTCTCCATTTAATTATTTTCCTCCACTTTCTATTGATCAAACAGTTTTTGACTTGTGGTGTCACAACAATCTTTTTTTTCTTGTCTACCAACAATGGTAACTTTGTAGATTGGATTGCCACCACCTTGGATGGTTCATGGAACTTAGTAAAGATCTCAAGAACAAGAAAACAAAAAAAAGGGTATGCAAAGTCTATGGAAAGATAAGATTAGTTTGAGATAATGTGTTTGCCTTGAAACTATGGGCAAGTTGAATCCACATATGTCCATTTGTACAATGTGAATGATGGTGATTTCTTTTTCTTTTTTTCTTTTTTCCTTCTCTTTCAAACATGTCTCTTGCAATAAGATATCTTATTGTGCTTTGAAAAGGACATAAAAATAGGGACAAGATTGCTTCGCTTTTTTCCACGGTCGAATTTGATCATTTTGGAGTTATTAACAACCCGATCAAAATCTATATCCAAATCCATCTAGAAATTTGAACATTTCCATCAATCTAATATTTCATATACAATTTCATGTTTTTTTATCTGAAACTTCTAAATAAGGTCTTATCTCAAACATCACATTTTATTCGTGTGAGTATGATTAAAGAATCTAGAAGAAATAATTATTAAATATTTAAATCTAATATAATTTTTGAAGACTATGACTTTGATTATATTTTGTTCTTTGGTCAAAGTTAGTTAAATCTATCCCGATTGAATTGGATCATGGATTTGTTAGATTTACTATACTCTTAATAAATATTTTATTAAAAAAATAAAATCACCTTACAATTTGGTCAAAGACAAAATTGCTTTTATACCCTTATAAGTTCAATTTTAATTTAATTTTATCTACTTAATATGAAAAGTAGCTCAACGATGAGTCCTTTTATTCTATCGATGAATAACTCATTAATTATGAAGCCAAAAGTCACAATCCGAGTTTGATAGGCTAATTAACGTATCAATTTTGTTTAACCCAAACTATTGATGAAAGTATTTAAATTAAATTTAATAATAATATACTCGTGAGATTTTTATAAATTAATTTTAATCTTTCTTCATATATAGGATTAATTGAGGTGTTTTAAGATAAAAGATAAAAGTGACAAAGAAAGATAAAAAGAGTATTAAGATGAACAACCTTAGTGACGGAGATGAAGAGGTCAAAGGAAAAAGAGAGGGGAAGCAAAGTGAGGGTAGGGAGGTAGAAGTAACAAAACATAAGCTAAAGATAATTTCATTGTTTAAAACATAAAAAAATAATTTTATTATTTAAGAAAAAAGGAATGACATATAAAAATTCATGAAAAAGAGGATCTAATCGAAATAAAAAAAATAAAAAGATTTTTTTTAGAGGACTTACCCTTTGCCATTTATCCTTATAAATTTAAACTCTTAGACAAATTCTGCATTAGAATTTCTAATTAATCAAGTTATTTAATATTTTACAGAAAACATATTTGCGTTCTACTCAACCTCCGTTAACTCATTATCATTTGGCTCCACTCAAAACTTTAATTGACATTAATATCTTTTAGGAAGTCGTATTTTCAACTTAATCAACTAATGCTAATTGTAGTTAGCTATATTAACTTGAATTATATATATATATATATAAGATTACAAATGAACAAAGAATACGTTTCTGACCCAATCGTACCTGGTGAATGATTCAAGATAACATTGCCACGTGTTAAATTGTCTAGTGGAGCCCAGTTTTCTTCCAATGAAAGACGTCACCCGTCGATGTGGAATCAATGAACGGGTGAGGAAAAGTATTTCTGTTCTCCCTCCGAAGAACGCCCCCCCCACCCTCTCTCTCTCTCTCTCTCGCCGTCGTTGCCGCCAGGCTTCCCCTCTGCCCAAGCAAGGCCATCGGTGCCGTCTCTACCTCGGCTTACATCGATCTCCTTCCCCCCTCGGTGGCGCTCGCCCTTCGCCCGCATTCGCAGCGGGTATACGATCTCGCCCTGCCTATTTTCTTGTTTGGAGTTTGTCAAAATTTGGGTAACAGGAGATCCCTCCCGCTTCTAGTATATTGTAGGTCTCAGGACAACCTATACGAAGAAGGCGATGAAGAGATCCGCAAGGCTGGTTGCGATAACCTATCTCTTGGGTAGGACTCCAAATCCTAATTCATGTTTGATCAGGGGGAGCAGCGGATGCTATCTCTATTCTTCTCTTCGTGCAATCTCTTCTGCGTCGATCCCTCTTCCTCTTCGGAATCAATGGCCCTTTTCTCGAAATCCATCCAATTCATGGGCATCGTCACCGTGGATTCGGTTCGGAGGTCAGATTGCCTTCTGTTGTCTCTTCTGTTCTCATTTGTTCCCAAAGTTTCCGCAATTATAACATCTTGATTGCCTTTGGCATCATTGTGTTGGTCAATAAGCTCAAAAGGTACTTTTGTTGCATTTACTTATAAGTAATTAGGACGATAATAATGTTGCGCATTCATTTGTTAGTGAATGGTCTCATACGACGATGATGCAAGACAGTACGAGGACATAGCACATTGAGTGCCCATACTTTTGGGTTGATCGGTATCCCTCGTGTCTATATGAGCTCTTTATTAGGCAGCTGTTTAGGCTTATTTCTTCCCCCTAATAAGTACAAGTAGTGATATGGCAGGTCCTGAGGAACCGGCTAGCTTAATCAGGAAGGTAAATTAATTGGTCAACACACTACTCGCAGCTTCTCTGTTTGATTAATAATCTCATATGTAGGTTTCGGGTAACTTATTTTCATCTTATCGGGAGTGAGAATGCTCATACTACTTTTAAAATTAAGTTGCATGGTTAATTGTATATGCTTCTATCTTTGGAACTTCTTTGCATGTTTTCCTTAACAATTCTTTTTCATTTTGTTATCTTTTCTTTAATCAGTTTCAAAGATCTATGACAATCAAAGTGTAAGAAACTAACATTAGCATCCATCAGGAACTTACTATCTGATTGGAATAGTCACTGTTGCATCTGCAACCTTAAGTCTTTAACCTGATGTTATGCTGATGTCACTTGTGTTATCGTGTGTTGTAACATATGATGAAGCTACTGTCTCTTGCAGAAATTTGCGGAAGACTTACTTTTGCTCTGATCATTATATGCACAGGACAGAGGAGGAGCCTGTTTATCCAAACACAGTCGACACCCAATCCATTGTCTCTCATGTTTTATCCAGGACAACCGGTAATGGAAGCTGGAAGTGCTGATTTTCCCAATGCTCGTACGGCTATGACTTCGCCACTGGCTAAATCTATGTTTGAAATTGATGGTATATTTTCTTTTCTGTTTCATCTCTTGCTATTCTTAGACTTGTAACAGTGAGCTTGGATGACATGTTAAATGTGCTTTTTATTCATATTGAATTGGATAATTATCCATTGATGGTATCTTTCTTTTACATCAAATCTCTAGAAACATAGTTGATTCGTTGCTCAAATAACTTAGTATACTCTATTATGTTGATAGCTTATCTGTTGGTGTTATAAATATCATTTATATATTGAGTTCATTGTTTTGTCTTGTTTTTTGAAATTGTGATTCCTCTTAATAATTTCTTGTTCCCTATATCACGTATGGTATTTGTAGTTGTTATTATTATGTCTTATGCTTATGTGTATTTTGTCAAAATTTGCATTTTACATTTCTTAAATGTGGGTTATGTGGATACTGAAATCTATGTCTTTTTATCTAATTGCTGGGTAAGTAGTATCAATCATCTTCACGTAGGTTACAGTTGGGAGAATCTTTCTACACAATCAAGTGTTTTACTTTGGCTTCGATAAGTTCTCCAGGTATGAGGATAAAACAACAATAGCACGTAGGGGTGTGGATATAATAGTTGCTGTTTGCATGCACGTCATGTCCTACTTTTATCAGTTTTCTGTGTTGACCTATTAGTATCATATTGTGTTCCATTTCCCCCTTTCCATGTCCATGCTTCATATTTAACCAGCCACTGCTACATGATACAACTCTCTGAAGGAAGGGTCATGCCCCTGGTCAACACTTCTCATCTCTGAGAGTGGGTTGACACCCCTGGTTAACACTTGTCATCTCTGAGAGGGCATGATCCCTTTGGTTGTTGGCGAGGTGAGTTTGGAATCAATCTGAGCCTGATTCAGGTCTATGGGTGTAGAGATAGGTTCTGTTTTTTCAAAATTTTAATTGCTTGCATGCAATTTTGATATAACTAAGCCATGTAACATCTAAGTGATTTTAAACTATCTCATTGATGAGAGCTATGGTTATGCAAGACAAAGCTCTGGCGCAGTGTCGCACAAGCAGGGCAATTTCGTCCTAGGAATCCTAGGAAGAACAGAAGTTTTGCTTATTAAGTTGTAAGGTGTTTGTGCAAAAGGATGTTTTATGAGGTTAAGTTCCTTCGGTGTATTATCCAGATATCCTTATTTCTTGCTGGATTTTTAATCCATATGCTTATCAGCATACTGCTCCTTTTCTCTGTTACAAATGACTGAACACATTGCAAATAGACACGCTGAAATTTGATTGAATTTTCATTAATCCAGGAATCTCAAGAGTTTTCTTCGGATCAGATTTTGTCACGGTAACAAAGTCAGAAGAAGCTTCATGGGATTTTCTGAAGTCCGAGATTTTTGCAGCAATAATGGACTTCTATTCATCTGGAAAACCACTTTTTCTCGACTCAAATGTTGCAGCTTATATGGACACAGCAATCCATGAGGTATCACATATGCACTTTGGTTACGGAATATTCAATTATTGCTACAGGTATCATCATATCTAAATAATATGCAAGTGACCAGAATTTGTATGCCAAGATGGTTCCTTCTGTAATTAAAAGAATATAGTTGAGCTAGTTATGGATCAGTTGTAATTGGAAAACAAAGATCTTGAACAAGTAAACGAATTGAATGGTGTAACATAACTAAAAGTTTGTAGGTGCAGGATGTTTAATGGTCGGCTCTCTTCTAGCATGGTAGTTTTCTCCATGAGGAGAAAAATTATTCAGCTCAGTGCAAACTAGATGTGTTGCCTGGAATTACAGTTTAATATTGACTTTTTACTGTACTTTTATATTGTTGGTATAACTTGTTTTTTTTACATTTAGGACCTAATATACTATCGGCATGCTGAATTTTGTGCTATTCTGAGGCCAAGCATTACTTTTGTAGGATGATTCAGAAATTGTTGCAATGATCAAAGAATTACTAGAAACACGAATTCGACCTGCAGTGCAGGACGATGGTGGGGATATTGAGTATCATGGATTTGATCCGTATTTCTCTTCTTTGCTCTCATCAGACCAAAAAATAAGCTATACTCCCATGTCGATTCAGCGGTAGCTTGATTTTACTTAATGTTTGCTCTTCTTCAGGGATTCTGGGATAGTCACGCTAAGAATGCAAGGTGCCTGTAGCGGCTGCCCAAGTTCATCTGTGACATTGAAGTCTGGCATCGAGAATATGCTTATGCATTATGTGTCGGAGGTAATATCATGACATCCATTTGCTTCGAGTGCCACCGCATGTCCTTCAGAATTCAAGTATGCTAAAATGTTTTAGCTCTTCTACAACTTTCCATCTCATAGGACGAGGCAGTTAAGAATCTTGACGGAAACGGACGTTCCCAAATAACAGTGACACATCACTTTGTATTATTAATAATTTCTTATATATAAAAAGTTTGTCTGGTTTATTTTTGTTCTCTTTTGATCGATAGGTCAAAGGGGTTGACCAGGAGCTAGATACGGATGAGGGTGCTTCGTCAAGCGGTCAAACGGAATAAAATGTTACTGAAGAAGCCTAATCATCGAACCTCCCCCATAGAGAATTAGTGCCTGCTGTGATTTCTCAACTCGCAGCACCATCAGCGGAGAAATCTGGAGTTATAGTCGAAGACCGTTTAACCTCTGTATATATGTTTCATAACAGGGGAAAAAGATAACCAACCGTAATGTTCGATAGCGAAGCATGTAACTATCGAAATGAGATTTTTTTTCTTCTTTTTTATCCATGGGCACATTTCCACATAAATGTTGTCTTTTTATTTCAATACTTGGCTCTTCCAAGATCATGGATAAGATGCTATTGGTAAATGCATATTTTTCTGTAGCAGCTCATTGGAACTCCCAAAGGATGATGCAGTTGTATGCAAAATAGTGAGCCAGCAGCAGCCTACGATCTGAAAAGGTCAAATAAGATGCATGTCATCAGCACCATTTTAATTCTTCTTCTTCACGAGATGTCTAAGAAGCTCCATATGAAAGAAACGTATGCATACATCATCACCAAACTCTCGGAGATTCTTATACCTTCATATTCTGATTGCATATTCTGCGTATGTCCCAAAGTAATGGGGATGAGGTGCGCAGCCCACTCAACGTGTGCTTCCGATGGCATCAACCATGGGAGGAGTCGGTGTAAAGTTACAGAACCTTCTTTGAAGACGCAAACCTGCAATCTAATGGCACCTCCACAGATCTCGATGATGCCACTTTTGATTGAATGCGGCAGCGGCATCTGATGTACTTCAAAATCACAGCCAATGTCTCTAACAAGCAAGTAAGTGCATCTGTTTCCACGGATGGGTGCGTTGGTGATGAAGCATACCGGAAAGCCTTAATGTCATCTCTCTCACTTGTCCTCTCGATTCCGACATCTTTGCCACATCTTCCGACTTGGCATTATTACGACGGAAGGGGGAGATCCCTCCCTCGGTGACGATGCAACGCAATAACCATGGAGAAGAGAGAGAGATCCCAAAATACCACCTCACTCACGGTTGCCGATGGTCGAGGGAAATGCGACGTATTCCCATCGGAGTCGGCTGATAAAGAAGTTGCACAATTTTGTTCCGTTTTATAGATAATAAATAATATTGAGTTAATAAGTATTTTTCGGATTTTGTTGTATATATATAATAATATTTTTATTTTATAAAAATTTAAAGATTAAAAAGTAAAATAAAACATTATTTTCATGTGAGTCTTTAGATAAAGTTTAGGATTAATTATATATTATCCATGATAATGAAAGTGAAACATTTAAGTTTATTTACGTTAACATCGTCGTCGATTTTATTGACAAAAACAAAAAAACAAAATATATATAGAAATAAGAAGTAATATTTTTTTAAAAATAAAAAAAGATAAACTTTTCGATAGAAATCATCATCATTTTATACAAAATCTTTTTGAAAATAAAATATAGAAAAAAAAAAAGGTTGTACGTCCAAATCAAGTCAACATTAAGTGATTGGTTGAGTGAAGCCATCAAAGCATGCTTTGTGATCGCTACTGACAACCAAAGTTCAATTAATCGGTCCACCGGTTTGATCGGCGTGTGATCGATCACTCAATGATGGACACCACTCCGTGTAGGGCACATTTGGTAGGTTGGTGGTTGTTTTCACGGTTACAATCGATTCGAGGGTTTCCTCTGTGGAGCGTTCTTCGAGTGGAATCACTTCACTGCTTGTTTGTCATGTCATCATATGCATGCATGTATGCCCTAAGTTTCAATCATTGTTACTAATATTATTGAAAATAATACAAATATTTGACTAAATGTATATATATATATATATTTTTTTTTTTTTGATGTCATATTATTGCAAGATCAAACTACTTGATAAGTAATCAAAAATATATATATATATATATATATACATTTAGTCAATTCCACCTCGAACAATCAGAATCTACTTTAGAATAAACTTAATGATAGAGTTAGGCTTCGTCGCCCACAGCTGACGTGTCCCCGGAAGTCGACATGGACGAACTCAGCAAGGAGGTCTCCCTCGGCAAGGAGGTCTCCCTCAGCTTGCCGTGTTCCGGGAAGTCGACATGGACGGGCTCGACAACGAACTCTGAGGCCGAAGGAAAGCATATCAACTGCTTTGTATGACGATGACAATATGAACTCAGTTAATACCGAGATACCATTAATTTACTGATGCCCCCAATCAACATTCCATTGTCGATCGATATATACTACGCCGATATAATAATATTAACTCTCATGTCTTCGATCTTTATTTCCTTGGAAGCAAACAAGATTCCAAATCCAGTCGTATCCCTATAAATTCTCCTCGACGGTCTCGATACATGAATCTCAGCAGCTCCATTTCTCTGTCTCTGTGTCTCTGTGTCTTCTACCATGGCGAAGGCCAACCGATTCCTTGCCCTTCTCTATGCCTTCTCTTTAGTGTTCCTCGTGATGGGTAAGACCGTCATCTCCTTCACCGAGCCCTTTTTCCATGTTTCAGGGACTCGGATTGCTGGTTCTGCTCACGGCAAGCAGAGACCAGAGCATCACTATGTCAATAAGCTGTTCGTCTTCGGCGACTCCTACGTCGACACCGGCAACCTGGGGAGGTTGCTGGGGAGGCTCGCGCGTTCATGGTTCGATCCTTACGGCATGACCTTCCCTAGGAAGCCCACTGGCCGCTTCTCCGATGGCAGAGTCCTCACCGACTACGTTGGTCTGTCTCTCTCTCGCTTTATGACATGATTCCTTGACTCGGTTAGACCGCAAGCATATCTAAGAACTGCAGTAAAAGCTGTGTCTACATGGTGTGGCAGCCTCGTTTTTGCGGATCAGATCTCCCATTCCTTACAGGATCAGAAAGTTCGGCCAGAAGCTGCTGCCATACGGCATGAACTTCGCCGTCGCCGGTTCCGGGATCTTCGACACCGGCAACTTCCAGAGCAACCTAACAGCTCAGATAGACAAGTTCCAGGCTCAGATCGACGATGGCGTCTTCTCAAGACACGACCTCAAGTCTTCCGCTGCGCTGATTGCTGTCTCCGGGAACGATTACCAATTCCTTTCCGAGCTCGATCCGGACTACTTGCACGTGAGTGTCGATTAACATGAACGAAGCCGCAGTTCGCGGGCTGATGGAGTTCTTCCCTCTGCTTGCAGCACCTCCATGGATTCATGCACCGTTTGTTCGCGCAGCTCAAGGTAGATCTGAAACGCCTCAGTCACATCGGGGTGCCGGAGGTCATCGTCACCAACCTGCACCCGATCGGATGCGTTCCGTACTACACCAGGCCGACCAAGTACACGGCCTGCTACTCGAACGTGTCATCCGCGGTCGCAGAGCACAACCGCAGGGTCGACGAGCTGATGCAGGAGTTGGGTGGAGGCAGTGACACCACCTTCCTCTCTCTCGACGTCAACACAGCCTTCTTGAACGTGCTCCATCGAGGTCTGCAGCTCCGCAATCTCGCACGAATTCAGTGGCTTTCTTCTTCTGATCTATTCTTCTTCCACGTTGCAGCGAAGGGAGCAAAGGAGATCAAGCACCCGTTGGTGCCATGTTGTGAGAGTAGATCCAACACGACGGAGTGTGGAGAGATCGACGCCGAGGGGAACAGGTTGTACAGGGTGTGTCGCCGCCCGGAGGAACACTTGTACTGGGACTCGGTGCACCCGACTCAGGCCGGGTGGGCTGCTGCCTTCGAGTTCCTCCGGCCCTCGCTCCGCGAGTTCCTCCGACTCTGACCGGCTTGAGATATCTCGAGTTACAGATATCATCAGATCCCTCGTCTTCCATTTCTCTCCTCTTGTCGGGGTGATTCAGCTCGATCATGGCGGCCAGTTTTTTCTCAACGAAGACAAAAGTCAAAAGAGTATTTGGCATATATAATAAGACTGATAAACACTCTTCAGGGAATAAAAAAGGCATGTATTCCTGTAACTTTAAACACATAGTGAAAGGCTTTTACAGCACCATAAATCCAACTCATCATACATTTGTTAATTGTTAGTCACAAAATGTAAATGTTTTCACTCTCTATCGAAACTGTCAATGATTCCTGAATCAATTAGCAAAAAGGGGAATACAAGAGTTCTTTCAGGCTTTTAGCTTCTTCTTTTTTTTACATAATGAAACCCTGACAACTAAGTCGATTGGCAAAAGGCACAAACTACAATATCAGAATCAGATGAGAAAGATACAGATGAATCATTTTGGCTTTTATATATAGCACATTAATTCTATTACATTCTGTCACATGAATCGGACCGACTATATTTTGAACAAAGTTGAAAATAAAATAGGATATAAGTACCAAACTTTATATGTTGCCATCATTTGTTTGCCCGTCAAACATCCATATGATCGATCGGCATTAGTGCCATTGGTTTCGTATTCGGAAAGAAGGTCCATGAATTCATTTAGCAGCCGTTGGACCTTCCTGTTCGATGCCATGGCTGGAAGAATATCTTCCCTGAGGAGTTTCTGCTTTTTCATTCCCTGCGATACCATAAATTGGCCAAAAGTTTCAGTAATTATAAGACGGCAAGGTAAAAGTAACAAGAAGTTGAAGGAGGATCTTGATAGAAATAATAGAAGATAAGAACAATAATTGAAGAAGCTTTATTGAAGAAGTGAAGTAGTAACTCATTAAGCTGTTCCCTCTCCTATTTATACAGATTAGGAGAAAGGATTTCCCTCAACAGAATAGAGGATCTTTCTCAACAGAATAGAGAGATATCCTCGTATAGTTGGGGAAATCTTATCTTCTATCATTGGGGAAATCTTATCTTCTATCAGATCTCTCAAGACCCCTATGAGACATAAGAATTCCCCATCTCGTGCTCCTTCTTGGATATCTGATTTTAGTTTCAAATGATGAGCACAGCATAACACTGCTTATGTCGACATGTATAAGAAATGCATTTGAAAAACTACTGACGTATTTGAGGCTGAAAAAAGAATAAAAAGTAAAAGAACTTGGCTTGAGACAACCCCTGAAAGGAGATCAAAATAAGGTTCGTTTTGGCTGAATCCAAACCGAGGGCTAACTAGATGAACAAACGAAAAGATTTCAAACAACAAATGCTCCGAATATATATTTGAAAAAATACAAATGCTACAACCACACATGAAAGAAGATGACTGAGGATAAAGAGAATCTCACAAGCACATAGGGGTCCCATGCTGGTTTCTTTGAGTCCACAAGTGTGGTGTCAGCCATTCCTGTAGGAGGGCCAAGAAAACTCTCACAAACTTCACGCAATCGGGACTCATCAGCTTCTCTGTAAAATAAGACCATGGTTATCTCAGTCCTCATCTTGTAAGCTGTGCCTATAAGTTTCTA